GCTTTATACCATGTACTGGATGTATTATTTGAAGTATTCGTAAGGACTGGTGTCAGATCAGTCAACTGGTACATTTAAACAATGTAATAAGACCTGATGGACTATGGGCCATGTATCCTTAGCCTGTAATTGCTGTACTTAAGATGATTCTCAGGGTTTACCATATTTATCAAGGAATAAGTCCTTGTTTGGTAATAAGGTCCATTTTTGTAAATAAGTCTATACTTCTTAACAGGCCTCTGTCTGGTTAAAGGCCCTTTGCTGGTAATAGGACTGTGCCTGTTAATAAGTCCACACATGATGTAAACCCATGTTGTTAATAAGCCCATGTCAGGTAATAAGCTCATGTTCTGTAACATGATATACATAGAGTGAATTATAAAACGATATTCTGATGATTTAGACATGTATTCCAGTATCACATTTAACAAAATACGAAAGATTCCACTATAAAATAAGGTTTTTAATCATGTTCATTAGGGACCCCGTCTTTTAGATAGTGAAGCATCATTTGATTTACTGCTCAAAAATTCTGTGAAGATTGAATATTTCCCGGTTTCATGAGTTTAGGTTCCAATCATGTTTTTATCTGTAGTGAGAATCTGATTGAAGTTCAGTTTGCTCTAGGCTTCCTTCAAACAAAAGGATGGTTGTTTCATTTTCTTGTGTTCTGTATCATTTGTGATATATTAATGAATATTCCAATAGACAGATATAGAGAGACAGACTTGGAAGGATTTTACTGTTTTTCACCCAGTGAAATTTACATGTTATGATAATATTCATGAAAGATCGATTTTGTATTGCAACAGAATTTTATACAAAGATGTAAGATATTTGAATAAATGTGCACGTCATTGAGTTATTGTCACGAAACATGATAACATTATTTATTCTCATTTAGGAAAGTATGTTGTATTCTGTTATTTTTGTCTCTGTATCAGAACAAAGTCTTGATAATTCTGAAATAATTTTATACCTTATATAAAGTAAATAAGATATTTGTTACCTTATATAAAGTAAATAAGATATTTGTTTGAAGTTTTTTTTTTCTCCAACAACACAGTTCTTTAGGGATATACTGCCTGCTGGAACCTTTGGAACTTTATGTTTATAAATGTATATGCATGAGATTTACTTCATTTGTGGCAATAAATACACTTATTAAAAACATGTTATAATACTGTCCAGTGTCCAGACATACACACTGTCCAGTGTCCATACTTATATACTGTCCAGTGTCCATACATATATACTGTCCAGTGTCCAGAGTCCATACATATATACTGTCCAGTGTCCATACATATATACTGTCTAGTGTACATACATATATACTGTCCAGTGTCCATACATATATACTGTCTAGTGTACATACATATATACTGTCTAGTGTACATACATATATATTGTCCAGTGTCCATACATATATACTGTCCAGTGTCCATACATATATACTGTCCAGTGCCCATACATATATACTGTCCAGTGTCCAGTGTCCATACATATATACTGTCCAGTGTCCATACATATATACTGTCCAGTGTCCAGAGTCCATACATATATACTGTCCAGTGTCCATACATATATACTGTCCAGTGTCCATACATATATACTGTCCAGTGTCCATACATATATACTGTCCAGTGTCCATACATATATACTGTCCAGTGCCCATACATATATACCGTCCAGTGTCCATACATATATACTGTCTAGTGTACATACATATATACTGTCCAGTGTCCATACATATATACTGTCTAGTGTACATACATATATACTGTCTAGTGTACATACATATATATTGTCCAGTGTCCAGTGTCCATACATATATATTGTCCAGTGTCCATACATATATACTGTCCAGTGTCCATACATATATACTGTCCAGTGTCCATACATATATACTGTCCAGTGCCCATACATATATACCGTCCAGTGTCCAGTGTCCATAGATATATACTGTCCAGTGTCCATACATATATACTGTCCAGTGTCCATACATATATACTGTCCAGTGTCCAGTGTCCATAGATATATACTGTCCAGTGTCCATACATATATACTGTCCAGTGTCCATACATATATACTGTCCAGTGTCCAGTGTCCATACATATATACTGTCCAGTGCCCATACATATATACCGTCTAGTGTCCATACATATATACTGTCTAGTGTACATACATATATACTGTCCAGTGTCCATACATATATACTGTCCAGTGTCCAGTGTCCATACATATATACCATCCAGTGTCCATACATATATACTGTCCAGTGTTCATACATATATACTGTCCAGTGCCCATACATATATACTGTACAGTGTCAATACATATATACTGTCCAGTGCCCATACATATATACTGTACAGTGTCAATACATATATACTGTCCAGTGTCCATACATATATGCTGTCCAGTGTCAATACATATATACTGTCCAGTGTCCAGTGTCCATACATATATACTGTCCAGTGTCCATACATATATACTGTCCAGTGTCCATACATATATACTGTCTAGTGTACATACATATATACTGTCCAGTGTCCATACATATATACTGTACAGTGTCAATACATATATACTGTCCAGTGCCCATACATATATACTGTACAGTGTCAATACATATATACTGTCCAGTGTCCATACATATATGCTGTCCAGTGTCAATACATATATACCGTCCAGTGTCCATACATATATACTGTCCAGTGTCCATACATATATGCTGTCCAGTGTCAATACATATATACTGTCCAGTACCCATGAGATGAAATTAAGTTCAATTAAAACTGTAATACTTAGACATGAAATCTGTCAACTCAAAGACAAGATTGTAAAGATATTGATGAATTTTAACAGAACTATTAAAAATATGTTTTTTATATAAATGTTAATGTCTAATTGGACAGACTTTTAAATGACCAGGATGAGATATTGTAAATAATTATCAATGAGGAAGTCCTTTTACTTACCCTGTTTTATCATGAGTTCTATTTATTTCTGCTATAGAGACATGAAATACAAGCATCTGACGTGTGTATATAAAAGTGAATCTAATCCGAAGTGTTTTGATCGATCACGAATAAAGCCAGATCTTTTAAACTTTGTATGTGTGAGTAGTTATAGGTTTTGAATAAATTGTTGGAAAACATATTTGAAAAAAATGTATAACAGGGCAGTCAATCGTTATTTCAGAATTGCGATTGATACAAGCATATGTTGGTAATAACAGGCTGATATATTGTGGTTGTCCCAGGGACTTATTCACCTGAAATGACCAGCAAAATAAAATTCCCAGAGAATATTTCATTGATGCAGTTTGCCAACTTAGTGCACAGATTTACGTGTCTTAAAATCCAAATTTGATGGTGAATGGCACTGGAGGACATACATACAAGTGTAGAATTCTTTATTGATTGTCTATTCCATTGGAGGACATACATACCTGTGTACAATTGTTTACTAATTGGCTATTCCAGTGGAAGACCTACACACATGTGTACAATTGTTGACTAATTGTCTATTCAAGTTGAGGATTTACATGTCTGTGTAAAATTGTTTACTAATTGACTATTCCAGTGGAGGACATACATGCCTGTGTACAATTGTTTACTAATTGGAGGTACATTATTAAAAGTGTAAATTTAAACCTATAATATACCTGATAATTATCATGTAGTAGATGTGCAGGACATTGTCATTAGAAATTAATTTAGAATATCCATGTATTTGTATGTAAGGATAATTTTGCTTCAAATCTCACATTTCAATATTTTGCTCATTAAGTTCTAAATGAAAATTTGATCTAAAACCATTATTTGATGTCTTTCTGTTGATTTGATCTCCTCTCTGTCAGGATTAAGCCTGTTTTTAAGCTAAATGTTATGCTGTTACCAATTCTAGCTTTTCCTTTGGTGGAAATAATCAACAGATTATCAGTGACACCTGATGGCAGTTGTATGCTATAAACAATGTCGCCATCTTTCAAAACAGTGTCATCCATGCATACACTTGATATTATTCATATCTGTCATATGTGATTTGTATTCTCTCAATCACAGAAATCAAATGTCCACAAAGTGTTATATTTGTGTAAGGAGATTAATTGAGCTACCATGTAATCAAATGTCTAACAAATAGAATTTTCATTAAAAAGGAAGAAATATACCATGAAAATTGAACCCTTCAAAATTATCTGATTTTATGGTATGCATTTGTATTTTGACACTTTCACATCTATATGTCCAACAAGAGCTGCTCAGGCGGCCTTTGTACAGAAATGTCCAACAAGTGCTGCTCAGCTGGCCCTTGTACAGAAATGTCCAACAAGTGCTGCTCAGCTGGCCCTTGTACAGAAATGTCCAACAAGTGCTGCTCAGCCGGCCCTTGTACAGAAATGTCCAACAAGAGCTGCTCAGCTGGCCTTGTACAGAAATGTCCAACAAGAGCTGCTCAGCCGGCCCTTGTACAGAAATGTCCAACAAGTGCTGCTCAGCCGGCCCTTGTACAGAAATGTCCAAGGTCTGAATATGTATCCAACATTAATATTTTGTTTTATTCCTTGGTTGATAAAGCATGTTCAGAGATAAAAGTGATATAAATATTGATAGCCACAATTACACAGGTACATCTGCTTGATTTCGTTCTAGGGAATATTAGATATACTTACAGTATTGATGTAAAATTCTGATTTAAATTATAGGGAACTTCAGGTATAATTACAGTATTCATCCTCACTGAAAAAGGAAGTTAGTTATGTACTAAATAGAAATCAAACCACTTATCAAATAGATTAAAGTGACATGTCATATTTTATGCCTGGTGTACATATGATTAAATTGATATCTTTATGATGTGATATCTTGTAACATAAAATATTCATATTGTTCTGGTGTGTAGTCTGGGCCGCTGTTTCATCTTGGTTCATGAAATGTAAGTCTGTTGATTGAATATAGAGAACTTCTATAAAGTTTGCATTTATTGTTTTTCAGAATGGATTAAATATGTGTGAGATATTGGATTAACACGGCTGTTCTTCAAAGGAGCTAATTTATCACAGGTGTGGAATGACCCACCATGATGACATCATGTCGTCCAACAAAGACAAAGGGAGACAAACCAAGTCCCGGTACTACAACATGACTTATCACTGTAAGTAACTTTTTGAATTTAATCATTTTTTAAAAATTGCTTTTTAGACAGACCAGGTTTATAGATATATACTGACATTAAATATACAATCATAGAATTTTAAATAATACATCACAGTCTTTCTGGGGTGAAAGTCTTCACCATTTTTGATGGTACATGATCATATGTTTTCCTATGACTCGAAAGCTTTACACTGTAGTATGGACATGTAAAGTAGATACTGGTAAATGTACTTAATTTGGTGGAATCAAATGTTTGCACATAATCACTTTTTGGCAAATTAGTGCAATGGTGAATTTGTGCATTCACAATTACAGAACAGAAGTTGTAGAGATTGATTTCATTCAAATGGATTCTGCCTGGAATGATTTGTTTTGCCAGTTAGGGGAGAATTCTGGATAATAGAAAGAGGCCAGTTTGAGGAAAATTGTTGATTTGAGAAAGGCCATTTTGGGAAGAATTTTGGATTGAAGAGAGGAGAAATGAGGGGTAGAAAGAGGTCAGTTTGGGGAGAATTCCAGATTAGAGAGGTCAGATTTAGGAAAGAGTTCGAGATTAGAGAAAGGTCAGTTTGAGGACAGAATTATGGAGTAAAGACAGGCCAGCTTTGGGAGAATCAGCCAGAATTACTCTTAGAATCACAGCAATTTTTTTTTTCTGATGCAGAAACTTGTTTGCAGTGTAATCATTCAGAAGTATGTATTACAGATATATACACCATACCTACAATACAAATAAAGCTGCCAGTTTTGAATTGAAATCTCACTCATTATTTAAACAGTTCCAAAAAGCTACTTTGGATATTTATTGTAACATTACAATATCACACGCAGTTGTTAATGAACTTTTCTGAGGCTGAAACTTATGAATAGGTGTACTGTTAAATTCCAAAAAGTTGGCAAGTACGTTACATGGGGAGAAATATTGGAGGGTGAGAAACAGTGAAGGTCTTCAGTGTCCTGTGAGTACCTCCCTATAATTATTACCATTTTTATCCTAAAATAAAACCATGGGTCTAACATGTAACCTTCAACGCCAGGGGGTGGGCTTATCACAGGGCAATAAAACAAAAATAGTTCACCAGTGTTTTACTGAACTTCTTTATATAGGTGATGGGCTTATTAGCAGAAATGGACTTATTGCTGGAAAAATATGGTAACTAAGATATGAGGTAGTATGAGAGGATGGTGTAGGCTGGTCAATCAAACAATACTGACCCATATGGTCAATTAGACATATTTAACAACTAATTAACTAAGCTTCCTCCAGTGGAGACAAGACTTTCTGACTCCATGAAGGCACTGAAACTGTCAGCATCGATGTGGTAGTGCTGATAGTAAGGGCTGGAGGCGGGGGAGAACAGGAATGTGAAGGTCATGTGTTGATGTAAGTAGATAAATATCTGGGTGGGTGTACATATAGATAAGTAAAGACAAGATAGAGAATCTGAAAATAAATGTGTATATCAACACTGATAATTGTATAATAATAAGCTGGTGGAGCAGATGTATGGAGGTGTTGTATATACAGTTTAGGTACTGTACCACTATATAGTCAGGTATCTCAGAGGATATACAGTTTAGGTACTGTACAACTTTATAGTCAGGTATCACATATACACAGTTTAGGTACTGTACCACTATATAGTCAGGTATCACATATACATAGTTTAGGTACTGTACCACTATATAGTCAGGTATCACATATACACAGTTTAGGTACTGTACCACTATATAGTCAGGTATCTCAGAGGATATACAGTTTAGGTACTGTACCACTATATAGTCAGGTATCACATATACACAGTTTAGTCAGGTATCACATATACACAGTTTAGGTACTGTACCACTATATAGTCAGGTATCTCAGAGGATACACAGTTTAGGTACTGTACCACTATATAGTCAGGTATCACATATACACAGTTTAGGTACTGTACCACTATATAGTCAGGTATCTCAGAGGATACACAGTTTAGGTACTGTACCACTATATAGTCAGGTATCTCAGATGATAATCAGTTTAGGTACTGTACCACTATATAGTCAGGTATCTCATATACACAGTTTAGGTACTGTACCACTATATAGTCAGGTTTCTCAGAGGATACACAGTTTAGGTACTGTACCACTATATAGTCAGGTATCTCAGAGGATACACAGTTTAGGTACTGTACCACTATATAGTCAGGTATCTCAGAGGATACACAGTTTAGGTACTGTACCACTATATAGTCAGGTATCTCAGAGGATACACAGTTTAGGTACTGTACCACTATATAGTCAGGTATCTCAGAGGATACACAGTTTAGGTACTGTACCACTATATAGTCAGGTATCTCAGAGGATATACAGTTAAGGTACTGTACCACTATATAGTCGGGTATCTCAGAGGATACACAGTTTAGGTACTGTACCACTATATAGTCAGGTATCTCAGAGGGTACACAGTTTAGGTACTGTACCACTATATAGTCAGGTATCTCAGAGGATATACAGTTTAGGTACTGTACCACTATATAGTCAGGTATCACATATACACAGTTTAGGTACTGTACCACTATATAGTCAGGTATCTCAGTTTAGGTATACACATATAGTTAGGTAGTTTAGGTACTGTACCACTATATAGTCAGGTATCTCAGAGGATACACAGTTTAGGTACTGTACCACTATATAGCCAGGTATCTCAGAGGATACACAGTTTAGGTACTGTACCACTATATAGTCAGGTATCTCAGAGGATACACAGTTTAGGTACTGTACCACTATATAGTCAGGTATCTCAGAGGATATACAGTTTAGGTACTGTACCACTATATAGTCAGGTATCACATATACACAGTTTAGGTACTGTACCACTATATAGTCAGGTATCTCAGAGGATACACAGTTTAGGTACTGTACCACTATATAGTCAGGTATCTCAGAGGATACACAGTTTAGGTACTGTACCACTATATAGTCAGGTATCTATACAGTTTAGGTACAGAGGATACACAGTTTAGGTACTGTACCACTATATAGTCAGGTATCTCAGAGGATAGTTTAGATATATAGTCCACTATATAGTACAGTTTAGGTACACAGTGTACCACTATATAGGTACAGGTATCTCAGAGGATACACAGTTTAGGTACTGTACCACTATATAGTCAGGTATCTCAGAGGATACACAGTTTAGGTACTGTACCACTATATAGTCAGGTATCTCAGAGGATACACAGTTTAGGTACTGTACCACTATATAGTCAGGTATCTCAGAGGATACACAGTTTAGGTACTGTACCACTATATAGCCAGGTATCTCAGAGTTTAGGTACTGTACCACTATATAGCCAGGTATCTCAGAGGATACACAGTTTAGGTACTGTACCACTATATAGCAGGTATCACATATACACAGGTATCACATATACACAGTTTTAGGTACTGTACCACTATATAGTCAGGTATCTCAGAGGATACACAGTTTAGGTACTGTACCACTATATAGTCAGGTATCTCAGAGGATACACAGTTTAGGTACTGTACCACTATATAGTCAGGTATCTCAGAGGATACACAGTTTAGGTACTGTACCACTATATAGTCAGGTATCTCAGAGGATACACAGTTTAGGTACTGTACCACTATATAGCCAGGAATCTCAAGAGGATACACAGTTTAGGTACCAGTGTATAGTGATGTATCTCAGAGGTCAATTCATGGGAAACCTTTCAGTTCAAGGGGTTAAATCAATGATAGAATTACAGAATTGTTGAATTAATGTGACGGTTAGCAGCTTTTCAAATTTCTGTTAATCATGTGTCCAATTATCTCCCTATATTGTTTAGTGAGGTAGCTACACTATATGGGATCTGACCTCAAAATGACCCAGGCTGTTTAGAGAGTGATAAACCCAACTAACAGAAAAATTAAAGAGAATTGAAACATAAGCTGATTTTGAGACAGTTAATTCCCCTTGGAATTCTGGTAAGTGAAACTTTGATTATGATAAAACGGTATGAAGTATTGGTTGGAGAAATCTAGTACTACAAAACCTTTACAATGGTATTAAGACTATAACAAACCAGTTGAAATATTTCCTACAGTAGATTATCATTATCAGCTCTGAGTTGACTTATTATTGTGTACATTGTACTCGGGATGTTATTTTAAAATGTTTGGCAAACTTAAAATGCAACAGAAAAAATAGCATTTTACTTAGAAATAGTTTGTTTGTGGTTGGTGCTATGTTTTTTGTGCAGGTAAGATGGCCGGTCTTTTTGAAAAATTGTGTTGTAGCAGATTTGAGAAATGAAAAAAATAGAGAGTTGAATGAAATGAAAGTTGTATATACAGAGTGTCAGATACTTGTTTGATGTGATTAACCCTCAGTCTTCAGAATCCCCTCGGACCCCCCATACAGCACATTAATACTTGTTACACCATTGACATAATCCTTACAAGATTTTAGATATGTCAGAACTGGGAGTTTTGAAGTTGTAGAAATGACCTTGACCTCTCTAAGCTGGGCTGGACCTCCCTGACAGCTGTGTTACTTTACCAGTAACATGTCATTGTTACTGACAGTTGGGGTGCCTTTAGGTGCCTTGTCTAGTGCCAATCATACTACCATATTTATCTTAATAATTGCATGGTTGCTATTACTTGCCCATCCCTTAAAGAAAGGGCTTTCATCCCCTTCCTGTGACTTGTTTCAAACCTCTAATAGTCTACCAACAACACTTATTTCTTCAAAGTTTTTGTCTTTGTCACAGTTGATCCTATTTATAGATATTATAAATGATGACCATTTCAAATTTTATACACAATTTTTTCCTACCCAGACAGAAAAAAGGTTAATTTATCATTACCATAACTGCAGTGTTGTAATTATTTTTGGGCTTTGGTAAACATTTCCCTTGTCATAATTTTCTCAGTAAAGATGTTGCTTTTATTATGGACTTGTATGTAGAGTAATGTCATGTCATTGTGATAACTTATGTAACCATGTGC